CTCTCCAGCCCTGCCCACCCCCTTGCTGGGCCCACACTAGTACCACTGAGGCACTCAAGGATGAGGTACAGTTTGCCACCGGTCTGGAAGGCATAGGCCAGTTCCACAATGAAGGGGTGCTTCACTGACTCTAGAATGTTCCGCTCAGCCCGCGTGTGTGCTGTGTCCTTGGCGTTGCGCACAATTTTGGCCTGGAAAGGCAGGGTTTGGTTAGAATGTGGACACCCAGAGCTCTTTCAGTCCCTCCAACCATTACCCTTCCACCATCCTCTATCGCTGGTCATATTCATAATTCTGCTGCTCTTGGCAGCCATCCTTCCCAAGGACTGGTTTGTCCTCTAGCAGTGCATCCCAACCTCAGCACTAATGACACTTTGGGCAGATAATTCTGTCCTGTACATTGCAGAATGTTTAGCCGCCTCCCACCAGACGCCAGGGGCAGCCCCTCTCTGGTCTGACTCAAAATACATGTGGACGCTGCCACATGGCCTCTGGGAGGCAAAATCACCTATGGTTGTGAGTTACTGCAAAACAACACACTCACAATTGACAGTAAACCAGCAAACACCCAAGACAGGGCCCACCTCCTCCATCACACTCACTGCTGTCTTCCCAGAGCCTGGCAGAGGGCACTGGGAATGGCAGCCACTCGGGAAGGGTTTGTCGACTGAACAAATGACCCACCTTTCTCAGGACTTTCATGGCATATATTTTTCCCAAGTTGGTGCCCTGAACCTTTCGCACCTGGAACACCTGTAGGGCAAGGAAGACAGGATCAGCTTCCCTCTCCACATCCAATCTTCAAAAAGCCCCACCCTGCAGCTCTGGCTTTGGGACCAAGAGGTCTAGGCCCACCCAAGGGTGGGGCAGGAAAGATCTCAAGTGCTGACTCCGAGAGGATTTGCCCTTCCCTCTCTTATGTTTTTACCTCTGATTCTACGGAGGCGCTGCCGATTTACAAGTCTAGTTTGAGAGCCCTTCGCGGTAGCAAGACAGGCTGTGAGGAGAGGGAGGGCCAGTACCTTGCCGTAGCCCCCCTTGCCCAGCACGCGCAGCAGCTCAAAGCAGTGGGGCCCGATGCGCTCTGGGCCCAGGTTCACGCTGGTCTCCGTCAGCTCCACCTCCTCATAGTGTCCCACGGGCCTATTGACACAAGAAGTTAGTGGGGGCGCAGCTCCAGGGCGCCCAGGTTCCCTTCCCCAACCGAATCCCTCCTCCCCCAACATGACCCTCACTCACTCCAGGCCAGCCGCCCTCAACTCGGCAAGGGGACACACGTCCTGTGAGAAACCGAGGGATAAGAACCACGGTTGGTGCCAGGGCCCCTCGCCCCCGGCTGAACTGCTTGGCCCAGGAGAGGAGGGTGGCAGGACTGGGAGCGAGCGGACGATGGACAAGGACTGGGGAGGAGACGCGAGGGAAGAAATGGGAGAATCGGAGGGAAGGCCGGGGTCCTGGAGAACAGGTCTGGGCGAGGGAGGGGGCTCCGAGCCTAATGGGCACCGGTGTCTGAGACAGGCTGGGCTTGGCAGGGAGGGGCCGGGAGACCACCCCTGGGTGATGGGATCGGCTACTGGATCGAGTCGTATGCAGGCGGGTCACTCACCGAGGGACTGGGCTCCGGCTCGTCTTCACTGCCTTCCTCCATCTCCAGGTCCAGGTCAAACACCGCCGCCATGGCGGCGCCGGCACTGCGGGCCCCTCGGCCCGTGCCCGGCCGCGCTCCGACTGACCCCCGGGAACCCGGCGCTACGTCATCACTCCGCGACCGCGGCCGCGCTCGCAGTTGACACAGAGGCTCTCCCTCCTGCGAGCAGGCGGCTCTGCCGGCCGCTGGTGGCTGGGCGGTCGGGTGGGGCTGGGAGGGGGTGTGTGTGCGAGGAAAGATGGCGTCTCGGGAATTGTAGGTCCAGAGGGCCGGGGCGCCCAATCCGGCTGTACCCTCTCCGTTGGGACCCTCAGACTTTCCAGCACTGGTTCCCCGGGGCGGCACCGGACAATGGCGGCCCGGAAGGTGCCCCTCTTGGTTCAGGGGAGACTTTGTGAATTTGGATGGGGCAGTCAGGAGCACATGCAGATGTGAATATAAATACAACTCTCACCCCAGTTCGAGCTGTGTGCTGCCGGGCTGGCTGGATGGCGAGAGGCAGGTGGTGTTTCTCTCTGTTCGCGCCTGAAAGGGAGAAGGCTGGATCACGGTCCCTTGATCCCCCCTGGCTTGAGGACCCTGCCACTGAGGCACTGAGTGGGTGGCTTTCCGTGCCCAGCTCACTGAGAGGCTTTGTTGCCAGGTTCCTCCCAAAAAGGGTTTGGGTCTCATTGATCCACCCGTAAATAGGACCTGGTGCTGGAGTTTCT